TCCAGCATATCTACTATACTACCCTGACATCAACAAGGTAGAGCGTGTAAAATGCGTTAAGTTCTTTAGGGGGGTAGCACGAAAGCGTTAATTGACAACGATACGTTTGAACTTGTTCCACCCCCAACAAATAGAGACATAGTGAGGGGAAAATGGGTATAAACCGTACAAGTAGGGCAGCATTTCGTAAAATAGTAGCGAGAGACTTGCCGAGCGAAATCGAATTCTTGTAATATTAAATGCGCATTAGCAATAGTGCTTTTACGAAATCGTGTAATAAAAATTAATGTAACATAAAGTTTTGATTAGAGCCATAGAAATAGACCAAAAAAATTGTAAAATTGAATTTATTGTAACGTTTCGTCTTTACTCAAGACATCTTCAGACAAATAATAAATAGGATGTTAAGACAAGATATTATATTTACAAGAAGGTGTTAAATTACTACTAAAGCAGGCGGAGTCAAATGGATTATATGATAAGGAAGATAGGATTGTAGTTATTGATTAGAAGGCTTTCATGAATGGACAGTTCATAAGAATCGTTAGAAGAAAAGATTATTTTAAAGTCGTCGAAGTTGGGGGTGTGTTAATTTGAGCAAAGATGCTTGATAACGCAGGGTGGGAAACTTGGTTGCCTGTAAGGGGGGATATTCCCAAGCGCTCCGAAAATCTGGTGTGTAGATGACGTGTGGTTTGACCCACATACGAGGCGTTGTAGCTTCGACACTTGAATAAGTAGACTAAACCAGATCTCAGAGATTTGGAAGGAAGGGATACGTTGGGAAGGGCGGAAAACAAATTTAATAGATACATGTGGGAAGGCTGCCTTTAAGGCTGAATTTGTTTTACGAATTTGAAGGGTATATGCCGGTGAAAGGAAGACAAAAATAGATTGGGCATTTGTGAGCAGTTAAAGACCTTTCAGGTGGTTTGGGGGCAAGGTGTTAAAGGAAGCGACGTGTGGTGCGGTCACTTATACATGAAGGAAAACGAGGTTTTGGCGAGTGACTTTCTGGTAAATTCAAGTTATTGTATGAAAAGTTTCGTAAATGTCAAACAAAAGGTTTAAAGATGTGGTGACCACACGTCATCTACACACCAGATTTTCGGAGCACTTGGGAATAATATCCCCTTACAGGCAACCAAGTTTCTCACCCTGGAATTATCAAGCATCTTTGTACTCACATTAACGCAACTGGAAACATCCGCAACAGACGACTTTAAAATAATCTCCTCTTCTAACGATTCTTACGAACTCTTCATTCATAGAGAATATCCCTAATCAATAATCTACAAGCAACTACTTAACAGAAATTACCAAGGAAACTCCATTCAACTTAACCTTTTTTATTTTTCTCTTTCATTTGCCCTGCTTTTATATCATATAATCCATTTGACACCGCCTCCTTTAGTAGTAATTTAACACCTAGTAATTTAACATCGTAAGACGATACATAAGTTTTTATATCGCCCCAGTACTTGTGCGTGCAAGCGATAATCAACCCATGGTTGCTAATTCCGTCTTTCGTAAAAGAAAATGAGAATTTTTGACAGATAACTAAAGTAGAGTTTTTTCTTGGAAGGCGTATTAAGGTTTTTACGAATGGGCGCAAGGACTGGAAGAGTGCAAAAGTCAAATATGACCGAATATATGTTGCCCATTACAATAATACTAGAAAGAAGCTTTTCACACTGCGATAATACATTGTTGAAAGCAAGCATGCGTCAATGTTGAAGATATATTATGTTTGCTGGCGGATTATTCATTTAAAACATAGTTTGTATCTATGTTTGCTTTCATTTTAAAATCACGGGCTTTAGGCCCTGTTCACACGATACCGGATTCGTTGAATACCGGATTACTTTCGTGCCAGGATGGTGGTTTCACTGGCTACGCTGCTATCTGATACGCTTTGTATCGTTTTTCCGGAGCAGCAGTTCCCGGCAAAGTGTAGGCTGGAACGAATACGAATAATGGCATTTAGCAGTTCTAAGCTCATCCTATTGCGTTGTTTGGTCTTCACTGATGTCACCAAGGAAAAGGTTCTTTCAACCACTGCATTGCTTACAGGATTTGTCAGGCAGCTTAAGGCGTAAGTTGCCAATTCCTTGAATGGTTTGACCCCAAGAGAAGTTTGGAACTGAACTATCTTTGACCAAAATGCAACTGCTGTATCAGGTATGATGCCGTTAAAAATTTGTTCCTCTTTCCAATTTCGGTGGACGATCTTCCTGTACTGCTCCTCAATTGCATAATCTTGATCCTTTCGTAGATTAGGAAGCGGCAGTTGCTCAAAATCGGCTCTCGTTGTTACATCAAGAACTTTGCTTGGATGCAGGGCGCTTAAACCTTTAAAGATATTGCGGACAGCTGGTAAACGTTTCTCTACTTGATTTACAGCTTCCACAAGAAATTCGAGACACCTATTTTTCACTTCAGAAACTTCAGCTTCAGCACGTCGTTTGTCTTGTTGGGAAGAAATGTATTTCTTTGCTTCTGACAAGAACTTTCTACCAAAGTCAACTTCATAAATGGCTAGATATTTTCCTTGGTGGTCGAAAACTCTACCATATAAACTTTTATGGTGTACATTTAGTTCCGTGAACATTTCTTCTGGATCACCATCAGTTGCCTGGAAGAAGGCATTCACCCTGTCGAATTCTATGACCAGAGGAGAAACGAAATGGAAATAAAGATATAGGACTGGATCATTGAGCATGTCCAGAAGAATAGCCTTGAATCGTGCTGCCTGCGTCGTCTCTGGTTGTGCTGTTGGGAAGTAAGCTTGCGGCTCAAACCAATTTGTGAGAATGCGAAATATAACTTTTCCTCTCACAAGCCACCTCGTAGTTGAGTACTTCTCAAACGGTGCATCTTGCACATCATCTGGATTCATCACTTCGTAGAGCGTCTTGTATGCTTCTCTTCTAATAGCGCTCTTTGAAAACCATTTCGGAATTTTTGCCAGAAGAAATCCTACACTCGACGGAAGTTTCTCAAATGCATGCTGAACACAAAGGGACAACGAATGGCAAATACACGTCATCTTGATGCAATGAGGAGCGACAGCAGCTATTCTTGTCCACAGCGAATTGTGTTCCCCAACCATCACTGAAGCACCGTCACTAGCATAGCCAACACAATTCACTAAATCAAGTTTAATTGTGGCAAGGCAATCTTTGATTGCATTAAAAAGATCATCTGCTGAAGTGTGGACAACAGGAACCAGGTCAACAAACGCTGTAACGATCTTATTTTCAACTTCGCTGAAATACCTTACGATAATGCAGACCTGCTTCGATGTGGAAATATCAACTTCTTCTGCAACTTTTGAGACACGTACGACTTGGATGGGCCTTGTAGTAGTAGATACTTTAATGTGTTTGATGTGTTTATCAGTTTTTTCGTGTTTGGTTAAGTTTGCTTGTTTGGGTCTGATTGTGGCACGGCACAATTTACAAAAAGCATCTTCACTTCCGTCTGAAGCTTTTGTGAGCCAGCTAAATTTACTTTCCCAAGACTTGTTATATTTTCTTCCGCTATCATACGCTCCTTTCCATTTTGATGCCATAATATTGCAACGAATAACGTTTTTATCAGTCTTAACTAGTATTAGTAGTGGTCGAACGTGCTATTTATAGCTAGATGTCGGACGTCTACGAAGACAAAGCTGTGTGCTTGCTTGTGATTAGCTGGTTAAATTGCATGACAATTGGCTGAATTATACTTAGCTGTGATTGGATGAAAACAATTCAATGCTCAATTTGATCCTTATGATCATTTTTCGTTGTATTTCCATCGCATTTTGTACATTTAAAAGATTTTTACAAATAAAGCTCAATAAAAATTTTAAAAAAATTGTTTGAGTAAAAAGAGGCCAAAAAGTAGCCAAATAGCAAAAAAAAAATTTCGAGGCCAAAGAAAGAAAAAAAAGGCCAAAATCTAGTTATTTGGCCTCAAAAAGGCCAAACTAACAACCCTGATCGTGTGAACAGAGTGCATTTTTCGTATCGGATTGCTCAGCGAATCCGGTACAAGACGAATCCGGTATCGTGTGAACAGGGCCTTAGTTACCAAAGTGGAACGTATCGGATTCGAGCGTTCACACGACAACGGAACGTATTGGATTGGTTTTTATACCACTTCCACAGCGGAGTCAAATCGCTCCGGAAAAACGATACAAAGCGTATTGGATAGCAGCGGAGCCGTGTGTACACAAGGCCTATCCGGTACAAAAAGTAATCCGGTATCAAACGAATCAGGTATCGTGTGAACAGGGCCTTAGCTTATAATACTCTCGGACGCTCCCCATTAATTTATCTTATTTCCTTTTATTGTTGTAATTTATGTATCATATTACTTTTATATAAACCTTGTATCACTTATGATTTCACTCATACTGAAGATGGCATCAAGAGATGTCGAAACATGTCTATTTTAAAAAAATTGTCGTTTATATTAAATGCGCATTAGCAATAGTGCTTTTATGGAATTATCCATGAATATCTTATTTCCTCTACTACCTCGTGACCATGCACATGATGTGTATCGATGTAGAACATTATTATTATATAGTAGAAATTTATTTCTTTTTATTATTATATAAAGATATATGAAAGTTAACAAGTTAATTTTCCAAATTTGATTCGAGCTAGTTCCAAATCTCACCAAAATCAACAAATATATCTTTATAAAACATTTACATACGTACATAACGCGGAAGTAGAATATTTTACAGAAAAACAAAATAATCGATAAATGGACATGAAACATTAAATCACAAAATCAAAATACAATTTAACAACGAAAGGTAAAGTTTAAAATCAACATACCTTTACAAATTCAGAAAGATTACAAGACACAACCAACTACATGATATCTCAGGTACGGTGTTCTAGTCGATTCTGTGGAATAATTTAAATGTTTAGGTATCCGGTCACGTGAGATATGTTACTCTACTCCTAGGAGAAAGGCTCTACAGTATACCGGAAGAAAACCCCTTTCGTTTTATCAACCAAACAAATCACCCAATTCGTCTTATGAGACGTGGCTAAAAGCCGGTAAAGTACGGGTACAAAACGTCGGCTGGTAGTCGTGGGAGATACATACATTGTACTTTGGTCGTTTAACTTATGTTATTGTGTCATTGGTAATATCGATAATGTTTTCTGATTTGTGATTTTCTTGCTCGTAATTTTAAAAGATGCCAAGGTACACCAAATAACGGCCTTATAGCTGTTAGACTTTTCAACATGAAAAAGCTGGGCAGAGTCTTAGAAAACCTCTATTTGGACAGCTGATGTTCTATGATCAGACACATGTTGATCAATTTGTTGCCAATTATACCACACCTACATCAAACAAGGTCAATGTAGCTTTAATATACTTTGTTGTTCTAATGAAAATTCAGGCATGGAAGTTACAGTGCTTTGAATATATTTGATTTTTTTACATTCTCTACCACATAGTTTTTATTTTCAATAAATTTGTGCCATGGGCTTTAGGAAATAAAGCTCTTGTATACTTTTTTGTTTGTTACATATTGATACTTATAGGAGTGTCATGGTTTTCTTGCTGGGAATGCTGTTTGATCAATGAATCGCTACAGAGATCTTGATGAAACAGCAATCTTTGGGCGAGGCTGTCGACATGAGTTTCCTAAAAAATTCTTAAATTTGAAACATGGAGAGAGGTCTGCACATTTTTTGCAAACACAGAATACTTAAAATCTCTACTACATGCCATTAATTAACACTACAAAAGTTTTCTACTTCATAGAAGAAATAAAATGAACGACAAAAGTTGGCAATTGAGCCTTACAATTGCATTTCGAATTTAAAGGCAAATGTTCTAAAAGAATAAATACATTTTTGAAATGTCCATTAATGCATTTAGGATACTCAGCATTAAAAGTATAAAAAGAACTAAGTAAAATAATTACTGCATTGACAATATTTTCCATTTTTAGCTTTGCCACAATCATCCCCTCTGCCACCAACATTATTGAATGAATGTTTCTTAATGTTCCTGTTGATAGGAGTCTAGGAGACAAACTTTTGTTAATGATCTCTTGAACTTCCCCCAAGCTTTTGCCCTTCAACAGAGATAAAATTATTTATCAATTTTTTCACACATTTATGCAGAAAATATTATTTTGACAATATCAACTCTTACATCAACAATGTCCCAAAATGATTTTTTGTTCATATCTCGATGGGTGCATTGGTCATCTAACACATAAGGCAAATATGCCATTATACACTGGTTCATGACCTCTAAAATAATCAATATAGCATAGAATGAATATATTACCATTATCACTCTCTAAAGCATTAACACTTCTGTATAAATAGGGATTTTAACTTATTGATTTTTACACCAACCTTTCTCATCTTCAACTGGACAATCCTCCAGCTCTTGAAGGATACTGCTGACATTCTTTTGCTTTGTCTTTTTAATAACAGACAGCATTTTATATTTGTGCAAATTCCCATCGTTCCTTCATGTCTTACGAAGTTTTATTCCATCGTTCCTTCATAAACTTCTTGTGAAGTTTTATTCGAGGAATCGTCTGATAAATATCATGTGGCTCTAAATTGAAAAAATCCTCGCCGTCGACTTGATTAGCTTTAAAAATATAAGAAGCAAAACGTCAATGAAATTACGTTATTGCTGTTGGTATTCTCTAAAAGCGCTCGAGCAAATCTGCCTGCTAGCAAAACGTAAACAAGGCAAGTCATCTATAAATCTAATTTTGAATTATTTTCTACACTAGATTTATGCACCAGACAACAACCCTCACACATGCGACCTACATTTCAGGATGAGACAATACCTTTAAAATCTTCGACAATTTCATCCAATTTGTTGTTTTTCAAAAAAAGAATAATGTCAGCGACAGATGATTGTTTGTTGATTTCCATTTTGCCCACAATACAAGAGTTTAAACGCTAAAATGCACTTCAACAAAGCACAAGAAGTTTAGAAACACGCCACGCGACTACATACATTGGCAAGTATATAGGAGTTATTGTTCCAGTTTATATTACAGTTCAATGGTGTCCCCACAGTACCCATGAGCCCACGCGGCCAACTCAATAGAAATCCTCACTTCTTGATTTCTTCACTCGTTATTGTGTTCTTATTTCGTTGGAACTGGCAGAGTTGGCGAATATTTTAATTTTATAGTCGAAATGACCGCGTTTTTACCGTCAAATCTTTTGGCATTATTTGCTGCTGGACCTCCCATACCATATCTTCCGCCTCTGGATAAACTAGGTCATCAGAAAAAGCCTTGGCCGTACAGTGGAATTGCGAGTATCGTTGCTGACTTCGAGGTATTAAATACGTCGATGATTTAATGTTGCAATACATATTTTAACACCTCTGTGGGTTTTGTTGTTGCGTTTTGAACACTAGAGGAATGAAAAATCAGATATCTCGATTTTGTTCACATGTGTTGAAGTATAGTACATAGCATGCAAACCGCCTTATTTGACTATAAAATATTGGGTAGTTATCGCGTATTCTATACCGAAACAAACAATTCAGTAGTTTTGGCAATCGACCTGATATACAAAGATTTTGAAAACTTTGATGTTCACAGTTCAAGGGAAATATACGTATTAAAATTTTCCCTGCCTTGTTTGTTCTTGTGAAAACCACGTGATTGAAATGAAAAAAATATTTAGGTTTATCAACATAATTTTTCAATAAAGTTGCATGTGAAGCTTCTCAAGAATTTGATGTACTAGAAATTAAATATGATGCAATATATTTTTCTTATTCCAAAAATTTTATATCACCAAGTTGACAGCAAGTACATATCTCATATGATTGGGTTTTCTGATTTTTTTAAAGTCATATAATAGCTATTGTTTATTGTACCTCATTGTTTTTAAATCAGTCATAAATCCAGATGATATAAGTAGACAGCTACATTAAGTTGAACTTAACAAGTTATTCTTATTCCCTATCTGTTTGAGTACACAGAATGTGAATTTTGATTTCATTTGTAAAGTAATTGAATGGAAAGGTCTAATTTAATCAATTGATGAACTTTCTTTTTCTATTGTGTTTAATTGGATTTGCTCGCTTTTGCGTGATTTTAATAAGATTTTTTTATACAAAGAAATGCTAACATATTAATGCTTTTAATTATACATATATTATTTTTCTAATGATTTTTGGGAATTTTGGTTTTCATAATTTCGAGAATTCAAGTAGAACTTTTACTTTATTTAGAATAAAGTCAATAACATTTTTGAAATTTCAAGGTTATATGCACACACATTTCTTGCATTGAAAACTGCCCAAGCTCAGCAATTCTAGTGCTTAGCTCAGTGATAGATATATTTAGTTAAACCTTGTAGTTTTTTCTAATTTTCAAGTGTTGAATGAATGTGCAAAACTTTTGAGCAACATTAATCCCCAACTAAGAGACATTGATTTTCATATTCCTCAGCAACTGACATGTGATTGTGTATAAGGTATATTGCCAATGTGGTATCTATAAAAAACTGAATCACTTCAAAAAGTTTGCAGGTGCTATCAGTAAAATCGACTCTACTTATTTTTCATAGGATCCTGAAGATACACCTTCTCCAACTCGTGCAGAAACTAGAGTTGAAAAAATAGAAAGAAAGGTATGTTTTTGGTTTCAGGGTGGTAAATTTTAAGTTGGTACATCAAACCAGTCAAGTGAAGTAGGTGAAAATTTGTGAAATTGCTAAGTTCCATATTTCAAAATCAAATCAAACATAGATTATCACTACCTACGTTCAAAAAACATTTTCATACAAAATCTGATAATATTACGCATTACTGCAAGACTAATAGAGCAAGCATTACTTTGGTGTATTCAGCAGCGAGGTCAGTAGTTTCTGTATGAATGTATGACCTGTCGGCAATCTTCAAAGCTTGAAAATATGTTTTCAATTGGCCAGTTATTGATTTTGACCAGTCTGCAGGCAGGCAACTTTAAGTGTGCTTTGACTGATCTGTAGGTTAGCTTGCAAACTTTCCTTTAATACAATTGGTCAACAAAAGAGCAAGGAAAACCGTCATTGGTCAATTTCTATTGACTGGTCTGTCAGGTCAAAAGTTAAAAATAAACACATCGCACTCAATACAAATCATTGTACCAACTCAAAGTCTGTATTATAAGGATATTTTAGTGCACTAAATTAAAAAATGGTTGTAACAGCACTTGAAAAACCTTATTCCGGATTTCAAAATATTTCTGCTTTTGGCCTATATGTACGAGACACACTATCCCTAAAGAGCTGAATTCTAAATTGAGAATGTTAAAGCGGGTGCTGAGCTGATCACATTGTTGAAAAGGAAATTATAAAAATGTAAATGCATTTCACTGCAATTTTATAGCTGAAGTTTATATCCCTCTGGATTAAAAACAAAGATCAAATACACAGCTTTAATAGTACTCATTACATTTTAATTTGTCATGAAAGCACAACGTTTTCTTTATAAAGTTTACTTTTCTCTGTAATATGTCTCTGCTAGTAATTAGACCTATTTGCATTTTATTTCAAGTGCTTAAAAGTCTTGAAGATGCAGAGTTTATCTTAAAAATACATTTTCATTTTGAGTTATTTAACAATATTATGACTTATGATTTTGAGATAGGGCAAAAGTTGTATTGAGCTTTGCTTACATTTTAGAAAAATTTGAACTTTAATTAGTATTAATATATTCATGTCAGTATCAAAATGGTATGAAGGGGGTAAGATAAAAGGCTGGATCCACCACTGTTCTCATTGTACAACTTTTTAAAGAAGTTCAATAAACTTGTGAGAGGATCAGTTGTCAGAATAAACAGTTGTTATTTTATAACATAATATATATATATCTAGTATACAATACATGATGGTGGTGGCTGATGGTAAAATATTTAACTAGAGCTGCAGCTTACATGTTGTATTTTTTGAAAATAGAAATGTGAAAGAATTGACAAAAACAAAGAGGATTTGGAGAAAGCTGCAGAAGAATGTAAGTTGATCCTAAATTTTTATAAATGTTCTAAATTGTTTTATTTTATGTTGCAGGCTGTTGGTGAAGAGTAGTGATTAAATAAATCTTATGTGATGTTTACTTTGCACTAGAACTTAGCACGAACCTTTAACATTGACAAAATGAAGTGAGTGAACATACCTGTATTTTTGTACCAATATAATTTAAAAAGCATAACTAAAACAGGAATAAGCTGTATTAATACCAAAATTTGTCATGCAACAAAATCATTTGCCACTGACTTTAAGAAAACAACTGAAAAATGAAAGGTGGTGAAAACTCATGAAATTGACTTTAGCAACTGACTTTAACACTCATGAATGGACACTGACTGAATGTTTAACACTATGAAATGGACAACTGGCAACTGAGAAATGGACAACTGAACACTGACTCTTAACACTCCATGAAAGGTGGACATAGTCACTAGTGTTTTAGTGGTTTGTACTCCAGTAAGAGGGGACAAAACTCAACATCATAAAAACTGAAATTTACGCACTGTATGATATTTCTTTTAATTATTTTAGGGGATCCTCACACTGATCCAAATGCATACACGGATGCATTTAAAACTTTATTTATTGCCAGACTGGTAAGCAATATTTTTTAGGAATAGGAGTTGAGCATTGCTTCGGGGCTGTTCATACGAGCCCAGCTAACTGGGATTCAGTGAGGCGTTAATTGATTTTGGCAAATGGAAACAATTCTATTCTTATGTGTCATTAGATAAATCTTCTAGAGCAACTTCACTATATTTTGATTTAATAAGTATGCAAAACATTTAAAATTGAAACAACCAGTTTGGCCTAATTTGAGAATTTCAACAGGAATGGCTTGTGGCACTTAGCAAACAGCTGTAATCTTTAAGCTTGAAGTTTTGCCCACTTTCAATGCCTCAAAATCAATTAACGCCTCGATGAATCCCGTGTAGCCAGGCTCATATGAACAGCCCCTTAATTAGATGAGTACATTGTTAATTGTTTTAATTATTCGTTATATGCATACCGTATGTAACCAGGTTTTTTTAGTTATTTACACCCACCATTACATGTATGTATAGTTAAGGTTATCGAGAGCTCACTATAACGGTCGGTCAACGGCAATGACCGCCCCAAAAAGCTTGTTGACCGGTTTGTTTACGTTACCGGTCATTTTGACCTACCTTTTTTACGTCTTTCCAAGTACTCCAGTCGTGCGATGCATGGTAACAACTTTACAGCTTGAAACATCAACAGGAGAGTTTGTTTTCTCAAAAAATTATCTTTTCACCTTCTATGGTGCAAGTTGTGCCTAAAGTGAATGTTCGAACCAGGGAGTATTGTTACAAGGATCTTTATAGACTGTTGGTATTCCGATAAATTTGGCGGCATTCTTCTTCATAGCCAAACGTTGATTACTTCTAAAGTTACTCCTTGCTTAACTCAGGAAATGACTACTCACAGCTTGTCGGAATGTTAGCCTATACAGACACCAACAATCGTTTTAAGGACTTCGCCAACTTGAACTTTGTCCTTCTCGTCTACAAACATGTTTACATAATTGCGTAAAAGCACTTTCGTTAATACTTGTTTAATGTAAAAGACGAGTTTTTTCCAAATAGACATGTTTAGATATCTCATTCATTTGCGGCTGTGGACGTTTCTGTCGTTGTTTTGAGACCTGGTATGTTTATGAATGTATCTGAAAGGTTTTATCTTTTTTAGAATTACGATACATCTGAAAAAACTGAAAAGAGATGGAGGTTTATGGTCCTGTAAAATCGGTCAGTGTACTTAAAGTGCCTATATCGTGTTTTTGCATTTCTGCCATTTAAATAGTTCAGAGTACTTTAAAAATTTTTGTAATATATTTTATAGTTCGAAAATATGATTTTGCTGGATATTTTCGCACTCCAAGTTGAAAAATTGACCATTTTCATTATTTGACCGCCAGAATAAAAAAACTGGCAACTAATGTTATTTTTGACGTCACATCGGGAATTCA